GATATTCGGATACAGAGTCAGCGCCATGGAGAGCGGCCGCTGGATTCTCCGACCAAGCAGACTGCAACGGTCTTTGTTCATGAGCTCTTCTACTGCTTTTCATTCTCTCCTGTTCTGATCATCTCTGACTCGTCGCGAACTTGTCTTGCGCTCGGGGGAATATGCGAACCACCATCTCCATCATCACAGAAACGCGAAATAACACATAACTTGGAGCTGCGGCTAGACTGCCGCCACTGTTTGCCATCCTGTCCATATTCCGCCAATGGTTGAACTCTTCTCCATATTCTCAGTTCTGTGTAGTTTCTGTTGTTGTCTCTGGCATAACACCAGATGTCTTCGATTGGAGAAAAGAAGCCTGTAGAGCCCACGCGGCTCGGGGGACTTGTCTTGGTCACTTGTGGACTGGTTCGGGAGAAGCGAAGTCCTAGGTAAAGGAAAGGACTGCGGAGCGGCGGTGTCCGTGACCGCTCAGATGTCTGGTCTGGATGGGTAAATACTTCTCATATTGCACGAGCACTGTTCAAGGTTCGGCGTGCCCGTGCAAGAGCACACAGAGGCCCGTCTGCTGTTGTTGTTATTTAAATAACTGCCGAGCACTGAGCAATGAAATACCATATCAATATTGGATCAACGGAGGAACATCGTGAATTGTACTAGGTTCTCGGGAACCTGTCAGACTAAATACAGTGGCCAAGTTAAATCCTAGGCATATAAAACGTGTTTTTTTCACTGCTCCTCACTTAACAGCCTTCTAATATCTTCTCTTCCATGCCACCATGCCTAACCTAAGGGAGCGAAAGACCTCCTCGGCCGAGTTCTGTCTGATTGGGTACGTTGGGTGTTCCAGATGTCCCAGTTCTTGCAGCTGAATTGCCGGGGCACTAGTGTATCTGCACGAGGAGTGTAGAGGAGTGTAGAGCGCGAGATCAAACATCGATACATAGCGAGTGGTGATCGAGTGGTAAAGAAGATTGCCTGAGCAAGACCCAGGAGGGAGGAAGAGGTATTGCTCCTTGACGACCGCCGGAAGTGGATGGAGTGCTAGAATTGGCTGGCGCTGGAGGAAGTCAGTCAGTTAGCATCTCAATATATGCCCGTATACATACTGCTCAAGGGCTATAATCAAGGTTAAAGGCAGGACCAAAGGCATGTGTTGCATCAACCAGTCCAACGTCAGAACTAACACTGTAGCTCCAAAGCAAACGAACACCAGCGGGATCATGACTGCGAACGGAACAAGGAAGAGAATTGCCGCCATGAGGAGCAGGAAGGACGACGATGGCTGGGTGGTGAATACGCACATTGAAGGAAGTGAAGTGAAGGAAGTCAAGAAGTCGTTGTGACTGTCGGACTTGGCGGTTTTGAAGCATTTTGGACCTTCCTCCATCTCGATATCTCAATGGGAGCAACAATCTCACCTTGTATCTCACCGTTTGACTGCCTCCATCTACTAACCTAGGCCCTCGCTACTTCTTGCTCCTTCTTGGGTTAATCGACGGTTCCTTTGTGAGGCACTCCGCAGAGGATTCAATCCATCCAAGCAACAGACTAGACACTCATATTCGATGATACAGAGCCATCCAACCAGCGTCAGAGAACCCAAGGCCACAGTGGAGACCAATATTCAGCTGATGATGCAGACAATATCGTCATTGGTGGTGATTCAGACGACGCCAAAGAGGCGCTTCTGTCCCGGTCAGTCGATGGGGTCTGCTATCTCATCACATCCAGTCACGCCCAGCTAACAAAATGTACAGGAACTCCTGAGTGCCCAACCGCTATTCGACGAAGATGGTGAGTGCATCGAGGAAGACGACGAGGTTGAATCCGAATATGTCGACCTTGAGGAGATCCAGATGGAAGAAAGATATGCTACAATCAACGTCAATATGGAATGATCTTCTGCCTCCATTGAAGAGCGAGGAGGCAAACAAATACCATTCAGAGCACCTACTACTGCGACCTTTACTCTGCCTTTCCGCATCTCATCCTGTACTCATTGTTTTCCACGAGCATTGGACAAAATTACTTCTCTGTCGATCAAGGGATCAAGCACTGACAAATCACTCTCAATGTCCACGAAGCAAGCGGTCAGAACATTCCCGATGGCATGGCGGCACTCCTCAGCTTACCTCTTGACGAGGGTAAAGAACTGCTTGTACGAATGCAGCCAAGTCATCTGCTCGAGTCAGTTAGTATCCAGCGCGAACAAGTCAGACTCGGCTACCTCTTTCAGGACTCGAAGAATACGGCCAATGTAACAAGTCCCAAGAATCAGCCCGAGCGATTCGCAGACCTTTGCGTCCGTTGCAGCATAGATAGGTTGGGACTTCCTGCATCTACCACTGGCGAGGCCCAGATGACCTTATAGTTGATACTCTGCGAATGTCGACAATATCATCAGCACTCAACCTGCGCAAAGCATCGTCCAGACTATTCAGCCACAGATCAGGCTAATCTTTACTCGATCATCATCACCTCCCGTGGATTATATCAGGACATCCTTGATCTTGCCGCCTGGGCTTCAACGAGCAGTGGTCGTGTAATCTCTGATTCGATACGAAGTCACCTTCTTCGCTTGCATCAATAGTGTAGGAATATGCCACGCTTGCGACGCCAACATACTCATTGGGGAGGCTTCTGTGTCTGAATGCAGAGCTTCAATCCTGATGCGCGAGACTCGAAGGAAAAGACCACGAGAAAACACATTCAGGACCGTTGTGTAACAGTTGTCTCCCCCTTGCTCGGACAGAAAAAAGCATGTGGAGACCACATCCCTGTCATTTTGACAATTGCCAAGAACTGCGCCCTTGTCGTTGAACAGAAAAGCGGGTTTTTGAGCAGCAGCAGAATCTTTTTCCTCCTCCATTGACAAATCTCCGTCCTATTTTTGCTTCGAGACTTGAAGCATGGATAGAAAAGTGCCCATCAAACTCCGAGAACTCCTCTCCAGGTACAGCAAATGCTCGGCCTCGACCATGCACAGTACCACACCTTCAAGATCCTCGCCGTCCGAGTCAGGAGAGACTACGCTGCCGTCCATCCCACAATCCAAATGGGCGAACGTCAATATATCCTGGGGCGCCTTGCCTGTACGAGAGAAAGCCGTCGTCAGGCATATGTTGCTCAACCTATGCATTGAAGCGAACCTATTCCCTCCTACCACCGAGCGAACTGTAATAGAAGCTGTTATCGAACACAGGATACACATGGTGCGGCGTACCTGGCAGGATACACAAAAACGGTGGACGAAAAGAAGCAGCGATTCAACAAAAGATAGGCGTTGAGGAGCGATCAAGGGCACTTGCCTCTTTGGTCTTTGTGGTTCCATCGGCTCAAAACATACGCGTTGAAAGCTCTCAACTTCGCCACATCATGGAATTCAAAAAAACAACAAAACAATCTTCAACGTCCTTGACCAATCGTCTCATACATACTTCGACCATCTAAGGCGGTGTGTCGCACGCAGTCAAAAGATCCACAAACTGGTTGTTCCTCACCCAGGGCCCCCGTCGTTGGCGTTTCAGCAAGGTGAATGTCGAATGCGGCTACCGACCTCTTGTCATGCTCTCCCTCCCTCAAGATCGGAATATGCTGGCATTATCCAACAGTTCGGGCGGGAACGGGCTTGAAGAAGTACTTACACCAACGACCAAGCGATCAAGTGATCCGCAACTAGTCCACTCTAAAGCCAGGACTCTTTAGCAGCATGTTGGCAGATCAACATTCAAGAATATGGCTGATGCGTTCCACCCTGCGCCACCAGGAAGCATCTGCAACGAGATGAGCCTGCCTGCTGGGAGGCAGGCTGTAACAGGTTGTCCAGTCTCGAGGTAATACAAAGCACAAAACCAATCAGCGCATTCTTCTCGATTCATTGCCGCTTTTCTTCTTCTCGACGTATGGGACGACATACACTCTCGGTCTCCAAGTATTGGAGGCTCGTCTCAGGTGCAAATGAGAATGAATGGCATGAAGATAGCAGCTGATCCCCTTGAGACAAGGTCAGTGACCGAGGGGATTCAAGGCAGGAAACATCTTATGGACTAAGGGCAGCTCTGTCAGTCGCTCGACTGCTCCAGCCGTTTGCCGATGGTTGAGGGCGTCAATCAATCTGATTCAAAGACACCCCAATTATCATTCTTCCAGACTGTTGAAGCCGACTAAAGCTATCACCGGCCCTTTATCGGTTGGGTCGGCGAGAAGACGAGTGCAGCGCCATGACCACGCAACGGGAAACAAGCTGGCCTTGATGCGGAAGCTGCGCAGCCTGATCTCGGACCGTTCGAGGCTTGGAGATGCTTTACAAGAAAAGAAGACTTTCCGACGTTGTTCTTAGGCTCGACCACGCGGTTGAAGCTTCGTCGCTCGTGCCCGTCGAGTGCTATCAGAAGGTTAGGAATCCCCGATTGATGGATGGTCGCGCAGTTACATCCTGATCAGTCGACGAGTGAGTCCACTCATCGGCATCGTGTGGAATCCGTGCCTCCAAGGCATCACCCTGCTGTTGCATGAGCCGATATAGACATTGTTCACCTCGATATCTTCCATCTTAGTGCCAGGGGTGAGACCAATGTACTCAAGGGGGTTCACTTACAGCTGGTTTCCCGGTTGGCGTCCTCGAACTTATCAGGGCTCAGCATGACGTCTGTAATGGGAACGACGTCCCTGTGGCGACACCCCTGGAGTTCCTATCTCTACCTCAACTTTGACACGGGCCCCTCGACGACGCCATGACATGGGTCGAGTACTGAAGCTGCACCAAGGACACGCACAACGTGAACCTGAGAGCCACGAGGAGCCTTATAATGTCAAGCACTGGACGCTGGGCAACGAATTGTGGACTGCATCGATGGCATCTAGAAAGACACTCAACGCCCTCTGTGAGGTCGCCAGTGACGGCCCCCCTAGTCGGCTTCTGGAACAAAAACTTCCATGGACAGTGGAACAGAGTCGAGAATGCCGTTGCCGTCCAAGCTTTTCTCCAAACCAGATTGCTACACGGCCTTCTGTAGCGCATCGTCTTCATCAAGTTCTCCGGAGTTTCGAGTTGCAGCCGTCGCAGACATTTCTTGCTGATTGGGCTCGATTTCAATGACCGGATCAGGATCTGAACAGGCATACAATCTTCCGTGTTTGCACAATCTCTTGCTAGAGATTTACCGTTGTCGACATTCGCGACAACCTCCAACCATCGGCGGTGCTGCTGGACTGACGCTGAATCGACGTCTTTCGGCACATTGTTCACAAAGAGGCATTCTTCCCTCTCTCGGCGTCGTCGAGGCGCAACCTCCAAGATCCCGGCGCTCTTATTCGACACCCGCGGCGTCCACTGATACTCCAGCAGTCGGTTGATCGGTCGAGAGGAATAGGGATGCTGCTTCTGGCGCTCACAGGACCGGTTGTTGCACAGGCCTGGTACCCACGACCGATCAGAGAGACAACCATGAGTACAAGAGGTTCGACAACGGCAGCTGGGGCGATGACCGTTACAAGAGAGCTACCAAGCAAGCTTGCAGAAGCACCAGCTGAGGGACGAAGCAACGGCTTGATTGCGACGACCAATCGTTTAGTTGGTTGCGGAAGCCAATGAGTCTGCGCCCTCTGTCCGAAACCGCTGGTTTCTAGAAGACCACCGATGCCAATGACTCCCAGCGAGTGCTCAACACGGGTAGCCATCTTTGACTGCTCCAAACAGTTCATGATTCTCATCTCCAGCCCGCATCGGCACTTGATTTTCGTCCATGAGGATCTCTGGGTCGCCTTGGTCTTCGTCTTTATGCACAGACAGCCCTTCGTCGGATGTCAGCCAACCGTTGAACGATACCGATACTCACAAATGCTCTTCACCAAACAAGACCCTCGCCTGTGATGAGAACAGGCGAGTAAAAGGTCCGCGAGACGATACTTGAATGCAGTCCAAAGTGTACATCGACCAAGGTGGAGGGGATATATGAGAGAATGAGTGCCAGATTGTTTCTCGTCCCACGAGTTTGAGATCCAGCGAGATGCCAGCGACGTTGGAGGCGCCGATGCTGCTGCGCTCGAGGAACGAGACGAACCAGATGGCCTAACCACGGCAGGATGTGTCGGTCAGAAAAAAGGACGCGAAACCTCCGATTCTGTCAGAGCCATGTCTTCCTCTGTAGTCCCTTCGAACGCAGGGCCTGCTCATTGCTCCAGATCACCCCAGACGCCCTCGAGGAGCGACCCGTGGTCTGCCCGCAGCTTCCCGTCGACTTTTCAACTCACTCCCGACGTGTCAATTATCAGTTGAAAAGCGTCGAGTTGCTGCAGACTCGATCTCTCAAACTGCACGCCCTCTTCTTAAGCAAGACTACCTTACTCAAGTGGGCAACGCACTCCGATCATAGTCTCCTTCCCGTGTACCTAGGGGCCTCGACAATGTCTTTGTCTCCGTTCTCCCTCTTGTAACACCCTCCCTTTCCAAGTTCTCGATTTCAATGGGACCGGCAGAGTCAAATACCTTCCCGTGCAGTCTCATACGCTGCTGCAAGCCATCGGTAGACTCCTTGCACGACGAGAACATGCTTTCCGTGCTAGCATCGAGATCCCGTCCTGCACTCATGATGCCGGCCTCCAAAGTGGTCGGTGCTACAGCGACGAAGCTCACGCGCCGCGGGTTGTCGTGCAAGACATCGAGCGGTCCCCGCAGATAAGTCGTGCGTCAAGGGAAAGGGTCGATCGAAGGGCACGTGTGGAAGAGGGCTGCTGCTCTCGATGCGGGCCTCCGAAGGTGTAGCTGACCACAACAAGCCCAGAACAATCGGCTCGATGGTTACGACTGAATGAAACCATAATTCCCCGTCCGGGTTGTGCTGCTGCCGCTGAGACAGGTGCATATTAAAGTCGTTGACGACCATGGTCGTGTCCTGACCACAGACTCGTGAGCAACACAGCCTGGATGATAGTGAAGCCGTCGTGCTCAAAGTAAGATCACAAGCTGTGGAACGACCCAGCATTTATGGAGGCCTGAGCCCGGTCAAGAACGGTGTATCTTCCAATCATGCAATCCAGCCACCAACAGGCTTGTCCAAGTCGACCTCCGCATGTGGTAGTGGGTGCTGCACCTTTTGATCAACGTCGAACTGGCCCAAGGACGAGACCCTGAGCTGGTTAAGGGGGAAAGACTGGCGCATCCTCTTCAACCGTCCAGCGAAGATGAGCAATGATGGGAAAATCCAAACTCTCCCAATCCTGGCTTTTATCGGCATAGCGATGGTGCTGTTGTAGTCCTTGACTGGCAGAATACCGTTCAAAATAGACCTGCTCAGAGAAAGCAGCAGGGTTGGGGGATTGCCTATTTCTTGGATGATCAGGCCCGAGCACAGATATGAGGGCCAGGACTCATTGTACAGCCCTTGTGGTCCAGCTCCAACTTTTCTAGTGCACAAACGAATCCATGTGCCATTTCACACCTCGATTCAGTGAGTGGATGGCATCGTTCAAGACCAAGGCGTACAGGACAATCAACAGGACACTATTTCTCACAGTCCCGTCCAGACGGACGAGGCCGTGTCGATGACAAATGAAGAATCGAGGTAGACATGATGCAGGTTAATCATTGCACGTCTCCAGTCGTATGATTGCTCGATCCAAACCCTCTTGCCGTGCCGGGAAAGAAAACTGGACAATCGGAGCAACAAGGCTGCTCAGGTTGAGACCGGACAGAACCGTGGTGAGGATCACATCAGAGACAGTGATGCATATGACGAGGTGCAAAGAGTGAATGATGACCAAGGATCATTCCCTTGTTCAGCGAAAGGCGGAACAGGACCCGGGGCAGACAGGGCCGTTCAAATGACATTGAGCAGGCACTGCCATGATTAACAAAGTGCAGCAGAGCGGCTTCGTTTGGCGGCACGATAGACCCTCCTGCACTCACTCTGTTCCAATAAACGACCGGAAACATCATTCCAACATTGGAAGAGAAGAGTCTGGATTCAGAAAAATCCAAGGGAGGATCGCAAGGGCTGTAGGCACACTGAAGAGATGGTTCCGAAAGCTCCGGCCAGGGATCAGCTATGATCAAGGACGATCTGAGCCTTCAAAGACCGGGTCGGTCGCCACAAACCGAGTCCCTGTTCCGGAAACAAGACTCATCAGCCTGCGCGATGAAGCTGTGGAGAACACTTGCAAGTATGCTCATACATAAACCTGGAGGTACAGGTAGCGATGAAATATGCAGGACATCACGGCCAGGGGTTCCCTCCCGAACAACACAGCCACGGGATTTCCATATCACCCAATGTCGGCAGCCTTTGTTTGAAGCCAGTGGCACCGAACCGCGACAGGAAGCCAGCATTGACGATGATTCGAGCCCATTCTCGAGAATTCGCCGACGGTATCCGACACAGAATTCTCCCTTGACCATTCTGTTGCCTTGGATACGGCGCAGATCTCGCTTTTCCTCCTTCTTTGCATTTTCGGTACTGGACTTCCTGGAGGTTCGGTTCGCCGACTTCGCTAGCGTCTGTAGCACGACGTATTTGTGGAAGTCGGCAAGATTCCTTCTGATGAGAGTTGCACGGACTTGCAATTGAACTTGCCGACAAACACCACGCGGAGAGGACTCGGGAGCGAATCCTTCGAACAGGTCGATGGTTCACTGGCGGCTGGATGTTCCAAGACCTTCTGGCATCGTCATTAGGTCAGGTGAGTTCTTCTCGCCGGAGGGGCAGCGATTGAACGACAAGCAGCGTTGCCAGGAGTCAATTGCCAGCAACGCAGGCGACGAGACAAGCGCAGGCATGAGATCACGTTACACTAAACCATCCCTTTAGGAAGGTGGTGGGGCAGATAAACTTTATTTGGACAACCACGACCCACTTGGATCAACCACTCTACTTGCGACCCATTCGAGTCTTGGTCTGATTCTCTCTCTCCTGAATCCTGGCACGAGAGCGGCGCTCGTGCCACACTTGGCCGCCGAGAACACGCCTGCAAAGAGCCAAGTGACCGCATCAAAAAGGCTCCTGGAATGCCTCCAGGAGCTCCTGTTATGCGTCAGATGCCAGTGCCAATTGCCAATCCATGTGCCTTGAGTGCCTTGTCGACTGGGCACTTCGAGTTCTATCGCCTTCCAACCTCGACTCCTACACGCCCAGATCCTCGGGAGCTACCAACAGATCACTCTTGTTGAGGACACAAGACGTACGAACCAAGGTTGCTGCATCCCTCGCCTTCGCGCACTCTCTGTGGTCAGTGTTCAATGCAATCAGGGTCCTCCTTGCCTGCAGCGGTCTTTGGGTAAGATCCGCCTAGATTCGCGGAGATGAAATTCTTTGAGCAGGCCATCGTCGCCCTACAAGCCACACACTCTGTCGTGTCGAGGCTCGGTCATTCATTCGCGCTGGTCACCCGATCACTGGCGTCTTGATAGAGGCCTCTTGTCCCCAAAGTCACTCTCGGAAGACGATTTCTGACCCTGTCACACGAAGCTTCCAGAGCCAAAGCGACAACAACAACGGCATCCTCTACTTGGAGTTGTCGGGTCCAATTCATGACTCTCATTGCCTCTGGGCTTGCTCTCTCGGAGTGAACAGAACCCTGGACATGATCCAGACCTGAATACTGTCCGGGAGCTCGAGCAATCCGCCACAGCGAGAGATAGGGAGAGATTGAGGGCCAGGAGAGTGTTGTGGATCAGCATCTGGACGCTGAGGTCTACGCAACAGTCGAATCTGAGATGGCAAGGCCGCTGGAAGCTCGACTCCAAAGTCAAACCTCGTCTCTTCGTCATCTTGGAACCCGATAAACATGGCAAAATGAACCAGCCAACAATTGATCGAGATTGAATCTAGCCGACAGACGTCTCGAGTCCAAACGGCTACTAGCGGCAGTGGTTTGAGTCACACATACTCACCACATATGATTTGAACAGTTGTTGGAACTGGAATGAACCTTCAAACCAGTTTCCGTGCCCGATGCTGCTTGAGGTCCGTTTGATCCTGCCAGGTGGTCACATCTCCCTCCCATCATTGCCAAATTCCTCGCACAGGCCTAGTACTCAGCAGCGCCGATTGGAGGCACCGGTGGACCAGTCGTCGACCACAAGGCATCGGCATTGGGAAGGTCGTGTCGCATGACCATCACCCCCACATCGCCCGTAATCCCATTAGGATCATCATTTATCGCCGTCACAACATTCACGACTATCAACGCTATTACCGCTGTCACCGTCGCAACCACAATCGTCATAAAGAGATTCAACTCCCTCTTGAGCACTGGGATTGCTGGGTGCTCAAACTCGAAGCCGGTTCACGGTCATTTCCAAGAGGCACACACCGGACTCAGGGGGCAAAAGGGGCCTTTCAGAGAGAAGGAACGAGAAGGCTCGTCGTCTTTGCGTTCAAGCGAGAGTCCAACAGTCCTCCCACCTTGAGTCTGAAGGGAAGCGGTCCTATTGGACGCACTAGTCCCTAATCATTGAGATTGGGCAAATTGCAACCAGAATCAACCAGGCATACTCCAGGCGTGAAAAGGGTTCTACCGCCAATGCAACAATCAATCCAATCAGGCTAATGCCTTTAATGCTGGGCCACGCAAAAGGCCAATCGACGACCAACCATTAGCCAATTCGAGAACAAGGATGGCAGTAAATGGGCCCGTCGCACAGATCAGGCCACCAATCACGGCTGAAAACATTGCCCTTTCAA